CTTAATGTCAAACTAGATTATGGAATTTAGGCAGAACTCTTACAGAGTGATCATCAGAAATATTAAAGTATAATTGGAAGTGAAAGATTGGAGTTAAATCTTCGAGGTAATTAATTATCATTGCATAAGCACATAGAAAGGGCTGTATGTACAACTTCTGAAATCACTTTATCTAAGCTGTATCATTAATATTAGAAATATTTGGCTTGGAGACAGCAAAATTGCTGTATTTAGTGCAAAGCTAATGAGTTAGACTACTATTATACCTAGAAAAAAATTCTCAGTGGATGACAAATTATTGGTATTAAAGAGAGTGGGTACTTTTCATAATTATTTTTCTTTGCACAATGCAGGAGGTTCATAATAGATTTTTATAACAATAAAGAGAAAATTTGAATCCTTACCAGTAATCAAGTAAAACTGCCATGTGGTAGCATGATAAATGAGGTCTGAAAGGAGAGCCATCATTCTGAGCCAGCAGTCCCAGGAAAGATTAGATTAAAAGAGCTGAGATAGAGAACACTAGAAAAAGTCATGACTGTGGAGGGATGGAAAAGGATGAATAAGAATTATCCAGTAAAAATGAAAGGGGAGAAATAGGAGAGAGGCAAAGAACCCTCTGGATTGGGGATAAGCAATATTGGGATGTTGGGTCTGTGAAGAGATGAATTTAAGCATCCAAGGATGCTGTGCAGCTCTGCTCCCTTTCCCACAGAAGGTGGAGGTAGTTTAGCTTTTTGGAGAGGTTTGAATGCCTTGGCTCCAGAGTCAAGGTGTTGATATTGAATAAAGAGCTTGTATTTATGAGATTACACAGTATTTTTGCTGAATGTTCCTTTCCATCCTTTCATTTTCCTTCTTTTCTATATTATTTTGCCCCCTCCAGTAGGGAAACCACTGGTGATACAGTGACAAGTGGTAACATCTTTTTTTCTTGGCTCCTTTGAAGTTTCTCCCTGTGCTCTGAGGCTCTGGAACAGGGTGGCTTGGGGCTGTTCCCATGTGTGCATACCTTGGGATCATCCCTCCCAGCAGCAGATATTCCTGGGGAAGGACAGATTGGCTGAGGGTTGAACTGTCAGTGTAATTAGGTGGTTGGGATCCATCATTAAAATCCATGGGCTGATGGCTGCTGTGCTGTCAGAGGGATGGAGCTCTTTGGATGTGGGTGGGACTCGCTCCTTTATTTTGTTTATCCAAGTGGATAAAGATTTTCTGTCCTTCAGAGCAGCTGAATTCATCTGAGAGGGGTCATGAAGAGACTGTGCCCAGCACAGGAAGGACATGGAGCTGTTGGAGTGAGTCCAGAGGTGGCACCAAGAGGATCAGAGAGATGGAACAGTTCTGCTGGGAGGAAAGGCTGGGAGAGCTGGGATTGTTCAGCCTGGAGAGGAGGAGGTTTCAGGGTGAGCTAATTGTGGCCTTCCAGTGCCTGAAAGGGCTACTAGAAAGAGGGAGAGAGATTATTTACAAGGGTCTGGAGAGACAAGACACAGGGAATGGCTTCCCACTGCCACAGGGCAGGGTTAGATGGGATACTGGGAAGGAATTCTTGGCTGGGAGGGTGGGGAGGCCCTGGCACAGGTTGCCCAGAGAAGCTGTGGCTGCCCCTGGATCCCTGGGAGTGTCCAAGGCCAGGTTGGACAGGGCTTGGAACAACCTGGGCTAGTGGAAGGTGTCCCAGCCCATGGCAGGGGGTTGGAACTAAACAATTTTTAAGTTCCCTTCCAACCCAACCCATTCTGTGATTCTGTGAATTAAACCATGAAGTTTGCTGTCCAAGTCCCACTTCAGAGTCTGTGGGTTCCTCCTGGCTCTTTCAGAGCCTCACTTCCAGTTTGTGCCTCACAGACCCAGAATATCTGTGCAGGGGCTGCAAAGCCTGGCTCAACAACTGGGTGCTGTTGGGACAAAGCAGCAGGAGAGGCATTGAAATAAATGATTTTTTAATTTGATGTACTTATTGTTTGAAATCTGAGAACCGTTTTCCTCTTTATTCCATGGTGAGCTTTTTTCTGTCTTTTCAGACCAAATGAATGAAGAGCTGTAACAAATATTGAAGGCTTAGAATTCATAAGGCAGTGCAGAAAAGTCTCTCTCCCACTTTATAAATCATATTGTCCATTGGAAAGATTTTGCTTTAATGACTGGAAATAAATTGGAGGCTGAGGTGTTTTTCAAGGACCCTTTCTCTGTGAACAACAAAATAGCTGGAGCAAACTCTGCAGCAGTTAAATGTGCTGAAAGGAGAACAATTGATTGAGAACCCCAAATATATGATGCCCTTTTTCAAATCAATGGAGAAATTGCTGAAGACGTCACAATTAACTAGGAGTGAGGACAGTGCCCTTCCAGGAAAGGAGTTTTATGCAGATTGAATTATTGCAGGGATGCTCTTCCCCTCCAATTCTCTTGTGTGCATCAGCATCAGTCACTGGAATTGATGGCAGCTCCCAGCAGCTCCAGCTGGAGGCGAGGGAACTGCGTCAGGGATGTGGCCATGGCACGGTCAGTGCCCATCCAAGGGCTCAATAATCCCTTGGTGTGACACACTGAGAGCAAGGGAGGGTTTGTTGGACATGGTGCTGATCCCAGGAATAGTTTTCCCTGCCTGTGAAGCTCCTGTGCTGTCGAGGGGAGGCTGAGGATCAGAACCAGGAGATGTTGCTGTTGGGGGTGAGGCCGTTCGGAGTCGTGATTCCTCATCCCGGTTTGGTTGCAGGGAATGAAATGGAAATCAAATCTCTGGATTTTTGGAGTCACCAATATGTGATGAGCTGAGCCTTGTTGCAAATGAGGGGAAGCTGCAAGAGGAGCAGCTGAGGGCACTTGGTGTGTTCAGCTGGAGCAGAGGAGACCTCACTGCAGTTCCAGCTCCCTGGGGAGGGGCAGAGGAGGGGCAGGGACTGAGCTCTGCTCTGGGGGGACCAGGGACAGCACCCAGGGAAGGGCTGGAGCTGTGTCAGGGCAGGGTCAGGTTGGATCTCAGGAAAAGGTTCTTCCCCCAGAGGCTGTTTGGGCACTGACCAGGCTCCCCAGGGCAGTGGGCACAGCCCCAAGGCTGCCAGAGCTCCAGGAGGGTTTGGATGATCCTCTGGGGATGGGCCTGTGCAGGGGTAAGGATTGGACTCCATGATCCTTGTGGGTCCTTCTAACTCATCCTATTCTGTGAAATGCAGCATTTTTGTGTTCCCTGATCCACATCCCTCTGTGCTAACCCCCAGTTTAACCCCGTTTTCTAGTCAGGCTGTGCCAATGCCTGTCAGTGCGTGTGCATCTCCTGTCCTCCTCAAGGCAAACCCCCCCCCACAGTCCTTGCAAATGCACTGGAATTGCTTTTCAGATGCATTTGTCACCGGGGATTACAGTCTGTGCTCCCCATTAAGGCAGACCTACCCTTGACCCCAGGCTTTGTTTCTGCCAGAGGACTGGGAGCTCCTCCATCGACGTTGGAGTTAAATGATACAGTGAGAAAAAAGAGCAAATTGTTTTCAAATGTGCACCGAGAGCAGACATTGAAAATACTCGATGAAAACCAGATTGAAGCTGCACCGTGAGTGATCCAAAGGGTAGATGGGGTTGGCTTTTAAAAAAAAAAGAAACAAATGGGCAAATTCTGTTCATACAGTGCTTGTTCCTCAGTTTTTTTACAGAGGGAGCCTGTAAACTTACTTTTACACTTACTTAGCCATGACAACCTACATCTCAACTCTGATTTTGCCAAGGTAGGCACAGGCACGAGAGAAGGGCATAAAGAAACTTGTCTCCTGCACACCCTGCCCCATATGGACACAGTCATGATCTGTGTATCCAGCCACCTCAGTACTTAGGGAAAGGAAAGTATCCTAAATGGGCTTGTTTTTCCATGGTGGTGGTGGTTGGGGTATTTTGGGGCTTGTTTTTCTGCTGCTCTCATCAGACCCTGACCACAGAGGATGTGTCTGTCTCGTACTGCTGAGCAACAAAGTTGAAATGATGGTCTCCAACATCATGTTATGGAGCTACAAGAGAGCTGGAGAGGGAATTTTGACAAGGGCCTGGAGTGACAGGACAAGGGAAACGGCTTTAAGATGACAGAGAGCAGGTTTAGATTAGATATTGGGAAGGAATTCTTGGCTGGGAGGGTGGGGAGGCCCTGGAACAGGTTGCCCAGAGAAGCTGTGGCTGTCCCTGGATCCCTGGAAGTGTCCAAGGCCAGGTTGGAGCAACCTGGGCTAGTGGAAGGTGTCCCTGCCTATGACAGGGGGTAGAATGAGATGGTCTTTAAGTTCCCTTCCAACCCAAACCATTCTGTGATTCTGTGATCATTCTACCAGGGGAAAACCACCCCAGTAACTAATCTCCACCACCCAGTACCTGGAGGGTGCCAGTCCAAAATGTGGTAGCATGATGCCAACCCCTCTCCAGGCTGTGCTGCTCAGCTTCTGTCCGCATGGACCAAATATTTCACCCTCTCAGGAGGCTCGTCAGAGTCCCATTAGCATTAATTTAATCTCAGCCTCAGGGATATGTTTTCCAAATGTTGCTCCTCTGTCTCCACACCTGCAGAAACACCTCCTGGCCCTTGAACTTCAGAACTGGGGACTCCTGAGGGTCCTTCACTTGCGTGGGCAGAGCTGTTGTAATTTGTTTGATGACTCAGAGTGATCATGACAGCAAAAACCTGGTTCAGAAAGTTGCTTTGTGTGTGTTTTACAGGTGGCATTCAGGACAAAACAATTGTACTTGCTCTGAGCACCTGGGGGTGCTTCAGAGAAGAGCCACTCCGGGAGCTGGCACCTTCTCCCTGCTGCATGTGACTTTCTCCAAAGATGCCATTTTTCTCACCTTCAGTTTTCCAGCCAGGCTGCTGCTCCTGCTGGCTCTCCAGAGCCTCTCCAGCGAAACAGTTCCTCCTGGGATATGTCCCTTCACCCGTTTCCATGGCAAAGAGCGGGCACCTTCTCTTTTATGCTGATTCACTGATCTGTTCTTTCCCCTCAGGAATTCATACTGGAGAGCGTGTGGAATGTGGCAGCTCCTCTTTGTCCTGAAGAGTTGTGTCTGAATGGAGCATCGTCAGGATTTAATTGCAGCCCATTCTCAGTCCTGAACATCCTCAAGAGCTCGTGGGCTGTTGATGGAAAAGTGGAGGTAAGAGGCTCAGGGAAGGCAGACAGATCAAATCCAGACATGCAAAGAGAACAGTGCTCAGTAACCCTTAGAAAGCACAAGTTCTGAGTGGGGAGTTGTTTTTCTGTGTTTTTTTTTTTTTTTTTTAAGGTTGTTTCAGTGCCATCAATAAATAAATTTAGGCATGTCACAACTGAGCTCTTATGGACGTCAAAATTAAGGAACATCAAAGGAAATCTTAAATGTAGTTTGCTTAATAATCTTTTAGGGTTTGTTCCACTGCTGTTTGTTTTTCCAGCCTTGGTTTTTTGCCCTGCTGTTTCCTTGTTTGCCTAATTTCATGAGGAATTGCTGCTTTGGGACATCATGGAAGTACTTTTGGAAGTACCAAACGTATTGACCAAACAATTCTCTGTTCTCTACTCCCCCAAATTTTTTTTGCAAGCCACGTGGAAGGAAACCACGTGCTGAGAAACAGATTCCATGAGCAAGAGGAGACTATGGAAGCAATTAAACTCCTGATCATGGTTTGACCAAGAGTCTGTTTGGGTTTTGCTGGGTTGTAACGCCATGAAAGGAACCTTAGATCTAAAATGCTGTAATTGAGCATATTAATTAGCAGGAAATGATGCCCTGGAGCTTAATGGCTCCTGGAAGGTGGAAAAGAGGGACAACCTGACAGCAGCCAATTAGGTCAAGCAGCAGGTACTTCATTTACTTGTTTTAGGCAGCCTTTAAAAGAGGTTGGGAATGGAGATGCTCAACAGAGATTGCAGGAGGTGGGAGCTGCAATTTGGGGCAGTGCAAGAGCACATTAAAACTGGGTGCTATCAACAAAGTTGTTACTGCTGGGTTTGGCACTTGAGGGAAACAGGGTTTCTGGTGATAAACTGGGGATAAAATATCTAGGATCAATTATACAGAGTTCCTGGGAAATGTGGGAAAAAAAAATAAACGTGGAAGGAAGATGAAGAATTGGGGAGGGAGGAGGAACAGCCAAGTAGGTGAGGAGAGAATCGAGGTTATTGCAGTGATAACCATTAAAACAGGACTGTTTGCCAAGACCTCCCACTGTAAAATAGCAGGGAGAGAGTTTTGTGGACCAGGAGAGGTTGTTCTTATATATTTCCATATGTCACTGCAGTGGAGTTAAAGAAAGGCCCTAAAAGTAGCCAGCATGGGAACACAGTGTTATTGCAAACCTGCCATCACAACTGAGAGAGATCCTGAGCAACCAAATTAAAAGAAAAGAAAAAAGAGCTAATTTTAGCTCAACCCCTGAGCCTAGTGTGGGACAGAATAAACCCAGTGTATTTGGAAGTGCCTTGAGGCTTTCCCAGTGCCTGAAAGGTCTGCAAATCCAGCAGATAATGCTTTTCCACTGCTGTTATCACTCCAAAGACAACTCAGCTCCTCTCTATCTCTTTCCTGATGTAGGTTCTGATAAGTATCCGTTTCTTTTTGTGATCTAAAGCAGCTTTCAGCAACATGGGTATATTTTAAACTTAGATATTTGCAACCACGTCACAGAACAGTCACAATCCCAGTGGACACACAGAACCCACTGGATCCCTAACCCAAGAAGGGATGGGGAGTTTTCTGTGTGTGTTTTGTGAACTGGTCATTAAGAACATTTAATATGTAATTTATCAAATCTGGGAGCAGAATTTAACCACTTCCAAAATAGGTGAAGCAGTTCAGAGGAACATGTTCTTGCACGGGAAATCTGTTTTGCAAAGAGGGAAGGGGGAACTGCGTGAGAGGAGTAAACAGCTCCAAAAACCCCTGGGACACCCAGATTGGGGGTGAAAAGGGTTCCCAAACTACTGGGTGTGAGACAGTGGATTACTATATTAACTATTGGCTTGGAGAAACTCAAGTGTGTGTGTGTGGGGGGAAGAGAGAAGTTGAGTTTCCCTGAATTTTAAATAGATGTATTTGTTGGGTGTAAGCAGAACCTGCACCCTGTGAGTTGTATTAAATGATACCCATTTAGGAACAAAAAAAACATATCAAAACACACCAATCTCCCTCAAAACTGGCTTGGCAGCTGTGGTTTTGTGTTGTAAAGGCAGGATTATCAGTTAAAACAAAACATGTCCTCTCTGTCCAGCTGCCAGTGGTACAGGTTGTCAGCATGAGAAAACTGGGATGATCCTTGGAAGTGGTACAGGTTGTCAGCATGAGAAAACTGGGATGATCCTTGGAGCCCTTTTCCTGGGAGCTCCTCTCTGCTGTTCCCTTCCCCATCACAGGGTCACTTAAGGGGTAGAGGGTTCACCACCTGCCTTCCCTGTCCTTTTTCTCTACCAAGCAGGAGTCAAAATTCACAACTGGGACGGTCAGATATTGGGAAGGAATTCTTGGCTGGGAGGGTGGGGAGGCCCTGGCACAGGTTGCCCAGAGAAGCTGTGGCTGCCCCTGGATCCCTGGAAGTGTCCAAGGCCAGGTTGGATGGGGCTTGGAGCAACCTGGGCTAGTGGAAGGTGTGGAAGGGTGGAACTTTAATGTCCCAAACCGTTCCATGATTGTATGAGACTGAGTTTGTGGGATCTTCCCCAAAACACCTGCTAAAATTCACAATGTGCAGTGAGCTAAATCAATAATTCACACAGCTCAAATCCCAGGGCTTTCTCTCCAAACTGGGAGCACTTTTAGTTCACTTGCCTGCTCTGCAGAAGAATGTTTTTTGGTAAATTTATGTACGAGAGAAGGTGCTTAAAAACAGGATTTCTGTGTGAATCCGTGGGGTTTGTTCTTACAAAGGTAAGTGGCTGAACAAAAGTGAACAACCCTAACTCTCACATGAGGGTCTTCAGGAGGGATGTCAGAGAGCCTCACAAAGGGGATGGGGAACCTCTCTCCTGAATCCAAGGGGGAGAGAGAGGCCTTCACACCAGGACTGTCAAACTGTTGAGAACAGACATCTCAAAGAAATTCAAGTGCTTGGCTTGTAAAATGAATTTGGCCCCAAAACATCTCCAAATATCCCCAATATCTCCATTTCCCCATTGCCCTGGGAGAGAAGAATCTGCCTAGAGACAACAGTCAAGTTTGGCATGAGCTGCTCAGAGCACTCCCATTTTGTCTCCTGATGTTTCTGATTTTAGTATTTTGTAATTTTATTACAATATACCTTTCCTTCAGCATTAAAAAATGCTTCCTGGACCAAAAAAAAACCCATAGAAAATAAATAATAGAAAGCTTTGCTATTTCCAAAGTAGTCGAAAATATAAAAGTCGGAATAGTTTAATTCCAAAATTAAAAAAATGCCAAGATTTCCAAAAAAGATTCTTTGGGAAAATCCCTGTAAAGATGTATTTCATGTTGCTCTTCTGGTGGGGAAAAAAATACCTTTTCTTTTTTTTGGACAAAGGTTATTTTAGAAGGTCAACTTTATGTTGGAGCAAAGCTTCTGGTATAACTTTCCATAAAACATATTAATACTGCAAAGAAATCTGGTGATTAATGCATTGCTTTATGATTAATGTGTCGGAAAATGATTCACAGGTCTCTGAAATCAACACAAAAAATGCCATTTACCCTTTTATTTTTCTCCTATTGATTTCAGTATAGGTTAGATTTTAACTTTCAGGCTTTCCCAGCAGGAAACCAACCCTCACAATTGTTTCAGACAAAAAGAAACGACCTGTTCTTAAATAGGAAGTCACTCTTGTTGTAATATCATTACTGGGGGTAGGACAGAATGTTTGCCTGCCCTTCTGTGGGGTCTGGAATGTTCTTTCTGAGTGATGCCTGTCAATTCTTTTGTGTTGGCTGACTCACAAAATGCCATTGCAGAGGGGAAAAAAAAAAACCAAACCCACACAAAAGAATTGTGAGTAATGATATTGATGGGAACTAAGAGCAAATAATGATGCTTGGAAAATAAAGCTGCACATTCAAATCCCCTTAGAAAAGTTTGGGGTAGGGCACAAGAAGTGGGTAACTTTTATAAGAGAGGGACACATTGTGTTCTTGTCTTTATTCCTGTAAAAATAACCTTTTCACCTGGAATTATATCGACTGGGTGGTTGTTTAGAAACCATCAAATATTTCTGTGGTTTGAGTCCTTTTTTTTGTAATTATATTTTTCTTCCATCCATCCTCTTTTGTTTGTGCTGGGAAAGACGCTTCCTTTTGTTCTGATTTTTATCCCCTTTCCCCCCCCAGAGAATTGTTATATCTGGTTTTATTTTCTCCTCTATTGTTTTCCTAAGATAATCTCCTTGTTTCCTTTCATTTTGTTGTTCTCTTTGCTTATTTAGACTCGTTGTTTGTGCCTTCCCTTACAAACCTGCCTTGATCTCGTTTTGCTCGAGAAGAATTGCTCCACTTTGAAGCTGCATCCAGTTCTGCTTAGATTTTTTTTTTTATTATTATTACCATGACAAATCCTTTTATTTAAGGGTATCTTGTTAAGGGAGCATCTTGTTATCTGTGTTCCTCCCTGTCCTCGGTGGGTTTGAGGTTTCTCTGCTGCCTTTGCTGATGAATATTGTTTTGACCACTTCAAACATTAACTTGTGAAGGATGTGCCACTTCCCAGCTGTGGGTTTTCTCTCTAATTTTGTGTTTGATGTGGGGTATTTTTTATCTCTGAATCACCTGCTGCTGGAATTTTGGTCATGCAGGGGTCGAAGGCTCACTCAGTGATGCAGTTCCACGTACAGGATGCTGAGTCAGTGCCTGGGAGGTGTTCACACAGTCATTTGTGCTAATTACAGTTATTTGCACGAATTTTAACCAAAAATCTGTTCTTTATATTTCCTTGACAATTTATTCACGAAATTACCCTTTTTTTTAAGCTGAAAACTTCCGTATTGTGTCATTTTTTTTCTCAAAATGATGTTCCTTTTTTAATACCTGCTTTTAAATTTTGTATTATAAGGCTGTTTTTAGTTCTCCAATTTTATTTGAATATTCCTGTATTCTCTCTCAGGGTGATCAAAGGTAACATTTAACAGAGAAAAAATGTCAGGCCTCATTCATATGCTAATTGCAAGTGATGAAGAGCCAGTTTAAAGGGGGTTAAATTGAGCATTTGCCAGTTGGAAACTCAGAATTTAAAACCTTCAATATATTCATAGACATTATTTCTGGAGAAATTTTGGAAAGGTAAAAAAAAAAAAAAGGCATTTTTAAATTCTGAACTATTGTTAAATGGTGCCATTGGCTTTGTAACAAAAGGAAATTTTGGGAAGTGTGTTCTTGGTGGTGTTTTTATAGATAAATATCAGGTAAATAAAGGCACATATAAGTAAATTTTATATTGAGGTTATGCAGGGAACTACACTTAAATAGCTTTACTGGAAGTTCATTTGGCCATTCCCATTGCCTCTTGCAATGAAAATGAGCATGGACAACTTGGTTTTAAAGGATAAAAGGGTTTTGAACTGACTCTAAAAGTGCTGGATATAATTCCCAATAATTTCTTTTAACTAATAAATGCACTGCATAAATCTCTGTCGGACCAGTGAGTGCCAAGTTGGGTTTACGTGAAATAAAGACAGAAACTTGGAACTTTTATTAGAGGAGAAATCGAACCTTATTTCTGTAAGATGCTGGAAATCTCCTTGGACAACTCGTGGGTCCCTTCAAACTCCTCAGGAGCTTTGAAAATAAAGCCTTTACTCACACCAGCACTTTTAAAGCTTTAATTATCCAGGTGAAAACAGGATTTAGGAAATTATTACAAATATTTTAATTGCTTTGGTGTCCGGCTTTCCCCTTTATGTTTAATACCAATTAAAGATATATATAAATAAAATGATAGCAGCCTTTTGCTGCTGCCCCTTCTGCAGCTCTTGTTATTGGGGCAGAAGTTGCTGTACAAGATTCTGTGGAAGTCTCTGCTCCTCCAGACCCAGTTCAGTTGGACTTAGAGCAGGAATCAAACCCATTTGCTGGGTGAAGCTTTAGGATCAGTGTAAAATGCATTTGGGAACATGCTCAGCTGCAGGTTCATAATGTGGAAGGTGTTCTTAAGTCATTTCTGGGCTGAAATCCACATTTCTTAGAGTAGGAATGTGACCATTCCTCACCTGTACAACCCTCAGAGGTCCAGCTAATTATTGCAGCCCATCAGAATCACTCTGATATTCTGTTAAAAAGCTCTAACTGGGGGTGTGCTGCCAAAGGTGAGGGACATTAACAGGGTGAAGTGTGGGGAAATGTGGAAATGGGCCTCCTTGACTGATCAGGTTGGCAGTGGGGGTAAAACCTCATTTTCCATCCATCCTTCCTGTCCTGGTTTGACTGGGAGAGGTTGGGGCTGCCAAGGGGTTGGGTTGGTGCTTTAGCACAGCCTGTTCAGCCCCTCTTTGTGGTTGTAAAGTGCTTAATCCTTTGAACTCTCCCCCATCCTGCTGGTTGTACATCTGCTCTCAGTTCCGTGTCCCTGCCAGTGTCTTTGTAAAGGGACATTAAATTGCCAGCATTTTTATTTCATTTATGATTTGTCTTTCAGGTCATGGCCTATGAGACTGCAAGTGGGACTCTTGACAGCCCAAGGAGGAGATGGAGCCTGTCAGCAGTGAAAAGGGTTTTCTCTTCCAGCTGACAGGTAAAGGGTCCATTCAGTCTGACAGTCCCCTCAGAAAAAACCACTAATTAACACTTGTCATCTGCCACAGTCACAGGTAATTCCCACTCTGGCAGGTCTTTGCATGGATTCCCGTTATTCCTTTGACAACTGGACCATGAAATCTAATTTTGCCAGGATGGAAAACGGTATCAGTGTTTGTGCCAGGTTTTGAAATGCATCACAATGAGCAGGGAAGTGTCTGCAGAGCTCTGGGAGCACAGAAGTGCTTCTCCCAGGACGAGGGGCATTGCTCTGACAAGCTGCAACAAGTAATTAATTACAAACAGCAAATTGGTCTCACGGGGCAAGCTTGGAGGTCATAAAAAAAAAGCAAAAGAGAACCCAAAGAACTTGTTGATGGTTAACTGCAGTGAGGTAATTAATGAGTGAATGCACAGAGACAGCAGAGAACAGTGCCTGACTTTCATCCTGTAAAATATTTATGATTAATGAAGTTATAGTGCTGTGAATGCACACTGAGAAATCCCTCTGTGACAAGTAGTCACTGGCTGAGGAACAGTCACAGAACCATGGAATATCCTGAGTTGGAAGGGCCCCACAAGCATCATCAATCCAACCCCTGGCCCTGCACAGGACACCCCAATAATCCTACCAGGTGCCTGAGAACGCTGTGAAACTGCTTGTTTGTTCTGAAATGGGAATAAATTAAGAAGTTTTATGCACTCGTGGCACCAACAGTGACATAGTAATTCAAGTAGTAATTCAAGAAAAATACTTCCCATTTGCAAGGAGATGAGAATCATCTGTCTAAACCCACATATTTAGTATATTCTTTCCTGGGACACCACAAACAGAACATGAAAAGGGTTTTCTCTTCCAGCTGACAGGGGAAGAGTCCATTCAGTCTGACAGTCCCCTCAGAAAAACCCCATTAATTAACACTGCCACACTCACAGGTAATTAATTAATTAAATCTGCCACACTCACAGGTAATTCCCACTTTGGCAGGTCTTTGCAGAAGTCCAAGCAATTACTGAGACAATTTGCACCCACTGGAGGGGATGTAATTCCTGCCCTTTGACATTTTTTCTTATCTTTTGAATAATTTTCTTGTAGATAGGAATGGGAAGGGGGGAAGTAAGGAAACTGCATGCAAACAATAAATATGTCTCTTCAGTAGTCATGAACTGACGTTTTACAGATGCAGAGTTCTACCCCATGTGTGCTTTGAGGTGAAGGAACATCCTCGTAGCTCACAGAGGAAATCACAAATCCATGGCATCTGCATTAAGGTTATGCTCAAACATTTTTTCTACCCCCATCCCTTCTCCCCCTTTCCATCTTAGACATCAACCATTTCCTCCACCTCGGGGCTTCGCTCTTCCTTCCCTGGTTGATTATTTCCACAACTTTCACCTTTCCCCGGCACTAACTTCGTCATATTCCACAAAATAGCAATTTTCCACTTTGTGTTGGAGCATTTGTTGGTGCTGAGGCTGTAGTACCACACATCCCCTGTGTCTGCCAGTCACCAGCACTCCGTGCCTGCCTTGATTGATGTTCTTATATCTCTTGGAATTTGTCCTGTCTCGCTCCCCCCTCTCTCCCCTTCTTTTTCAGGAGCTGCTGCTCTCCCATAAAACCAGTTTATATATCAATCAATGTTAGATGGGAATTTAGTGGTAACATCTGTGAGAAGTGCTCTGGTGTTCAGGGAATGGATAAAACTGCGGGAAAGTTTGGTGCTTCCTAAAGTCCCTAAATACTCATCCTATAAAACAAGATTTACAGTGTTGTATCCACGGCACGGAAGTGCTCAGCTTACTCCATAATGTTCTTGGAAGGCTTTGCCTTGTCTGCCCAGCTTGGATTTGTGAGTGTGTTTGTGTGTGTTAAACTTCTTTTTGCAGCTGTTTTTAGCTTTTTTTATCCGATTTTATTGTGCTGTAAACTTTTGGTGGAAAGCTGGGTAATTTCCCTCACCACAACGTGGTAAAAAACTTGTGGTTATAAAGTGAAAAAAAAAAGTATATATATATATAGTGTTGTGTTTGCCTCCAGCCTTGTTTCATTTTGCCTCTGCCTCTGTGGCCTTGAAGGTGATGCTCATTTTGCAGAGGTGGCTTTTTAATTAAACTTCTTTTCTTCGTCAAACTCAGCTCTCAAGGATTTTCAGCTTCCGCTGGCTCAGAGTAGAAAAAGATTTTACTGAAAATCGTAAAGTTCTGAAATTTCAGAATGACTTACTAACTACAGGATGCAAGTTTTTTAAAATATATTTCAGAAATTCACCCAAAACTCTGAATATTTTTGAGAGATAATTAAGCTCAGCCTTAATGTTAAAGCAACTGGGTGAGAAGGAACAAACAGAAGGGACTTTTCCAAACTTCTGGCTACACTGAAATATAAAATTGACTCTTTTAAAACACTGAAAGTTGAAAAGGGCAGAAGAACCCACAGAGGAATAGCAGGAAAATTGTCTTATCCTCCATTTCATGTTTATTTTATGTGAGCTTTCTGTATCTGAATAAATTATATGGACTTTTACATCCTAAATGGCAGGACATGGATGATCAGTTCCTGACTGCCTTTCAAATGTCCTAGTTTTTTCCTCCAGGTTTTGAGGACTTAACCTTGGAAGTGTCCATGAGAGGCCAAGGAAAATAATGAATTAACTTAGATCTTGGTGAGTGGGCACTAATCAAACTTTATGAAAAAATCCTGGTGATTTTTTATTTTTTTTTAACCTCAAAAATTTGGACTTTTTGGGAATAACATCACTCAAAGTGTCAACTCATGATGATAATGATGATTATTATTATTTTCCTGAGCAGGGAATCTGCTCCATTCAGAAGATAAGGATTAAATTCTCTGTACAATAGATTTCCCTGCAATTTTAGCCTTTTCAGCTCAAAGTTTTCAAACAAATTTCAGGTAAAATGGGGAATATTGGTGAGAAATGTGGTGTCAGCCTAAAGGAATGAGGTAGTGACACATTTAACTCAAGCAAGAACTTGGCCTGGAAATGTAATTAGTGTCTTTTTCATTGAGTGAATAATAATGAAAGAAAGGGTAAAAAATACCTAAATATCGAAATACTTGAAAAAGGAAAAAAAATAAAGGAATAAAGAAGAAAATACCATGACCACCAAAAAAATTCTGAGCAATCTGTCGGTAGTATTTAAGGGCTACTTGCAATGTGACACATAGAAAAGAATGATTCTGCATTTAATATTAAACCATAATAATTTCAAATTATTCACAGAAAATATTAATGTGTGATTCAGTTTTCCTTAAATATCCACTTTAATTGATTATGAAAAACAAAACAAACAAATCTTTGAGCAGTTTTTATGTAACAAATGCATGATTTGATCACTTGAAAGCTCGTTTTTCCCCTTTTTTTGTTCTGCTTCATTTGTTTATCCAGTCAAGTTTCCAGGTGTGTGGGGCAACACAGAGATGGGTAAAGAAAATGATTGATTACAAAGTTACCAAAAGACAGAACAAGTTAGGAATGAAGTGATCATTTTTCTACACAGGGAAAGTTTCTCAGGGGAGAACCTCCAGTTCTGTTCCGGGGTGACTGGGTTTAAATGTGTTTTTAATGAGCTCGGGGAAAGTGCTGAACAACAGGAGCAAAAATAGGTAGATTTGATGAAATTATTCAGATTTATTTGGCCAAACAAGAAAAGATGTTGGAGGGATCTACAGGAACTAGGAGGATAAAAGATAAAATATGTAGGTGCATTATTAAGGTTAAAAAATAGTTAATGAGTGTGGAAAAAAAAAATATTTGATGGCTCTGGGTACAAAACCCAACAAGGATTTTTGCCTGTTTTAGTGCTGCTCAGAAAAACAAACCAAGGATTTCAGTAGTTTTGAATTCCAGGAAGGAAATAATACTTGAATTATTATGGGAGAACTTATGAATTCAAGATTGGAGTTGTTTGAATCAGAAACAAGGAAGAAAGAGGATTTTAGTGCATCTGTGGTACAAAGAAGGGAAGTTGCTCAAACTTGTGTTTCATATTTCAGGAGTCCAGGGAGAGCTGAGCTGGATTAGGATTGATTTAGGATGGACTCGTGCTGCACCAATGGGAATGGAACAGATTTAGGTTGGAATCAGACCTGGAATTCTGGGGTCTAAAACCCACCCTTGAATCTAGAAGCACCAAATATCCTTGGAGTCACAGCCAGTCAGGAAAAAGCTCCTTTTTTCTCAGTTTTCTGGCCTCAAATACCTATTACAGTTCTCCCAACATCCTGACTTGAGCAAGTGGCTTCCACCTGCACACCAGGGATTTTTGGAATATTGTCCATAAAATCACAGGAGATTGGAAAAGACCCCTAAGGTTGAGCCCAACCATTAACTCAGCCCAAGTTCACCACTAACCCACGTCCCCCAGTGCCACATCCACCTGTTCTCTGACCTCCTCCAGGGATGGTGATTCCACTGCTCCAGTGCCTGACCAACCTTTCCAGGAAGATGTTTTTCCTGATATCCAACCTAAACTTCCTCTGGAGTAACCTGAGAAACAGTTGGAAGAACATTGGATCAAGGCTCTCCATGAAGACACGTGGATATATCTGATGTAAGTATGTATCTGTTTCTGATCTAACTTTACATCATGCTTTTCCAAAAAAAAAAACACACACTTTTTTTTGATGGTAAAGCAAAGAAACCACATTTCTTGAGGTGCTACAGCTATTCCTGCTCTTTAATCCAGGGATGGCAATCGATCATGTGGTGGGATTGCTCCTCTAGTGAGCTGGTAATAATGGATAAAGAGATAATGGATAAAGAGATGCTGTGATTGCTGAAGATTTCCTAACAACTCTTGTGATCACTTGTTCCATGTGTTCTTGTTTACCTGATTTCTACACTTCACAACCAATAAGACCCATGTCTTGGTATTTTCCTGGCTCCTTTCTGCTGCTTCAGAGCTGGAATTTCTCCTGGTGCACTTAAAAAAAATCAACTTTTTCAAAAGCCATTCCTTGAAGTGAGAGGTGAGAAGTTGCTGTTTAAGAGCAGGTTTAAATTCCAAGTGAAAAATGCTTTACTGGTGTACAGCAACCTGAGATCTTGCAATACCTTCAGCTGCTATTTCAGTCTGTTCTCAGAGACTTTAGGCTTCATCCTGGAACATCCCTGGAGATTTGGGAAAGCAAATATAGCAAATACCAGTCTGCTCTTTATAAATGTAGACTAGAAATGTGTTTCAAACCCAAAAGTTAAGCTGGCAGTATCAGGAAAAGCTCCATTTAACACACTCTGGGTGATTTTTTTTTTCAATGACAGCTCTTGATCAGATCATTTCACCATTAATTTTGACTGGGTTGGGTGAGTATTCTTTAATTTCAGTGAAAACTCTGCGTGGTTTTACACATTCCATGACATCTTTCCTAAGGGTTGCAAGTATTATAAACACCTGATTTCTTTCTGGTTAGTTTAGTGGCTTTATTAGTTCAGAATCAGCTGATTTTAGAACAAGGCAAAGGGAATAAATACACACTCCAATTTCTGCCACTGATTATATTCTCCTTGGCCTCTTGTCACCCTATTTCTCACCCATCAAATTTCAAGGACTTTAAAGCAATGTATGAAAAACCCATGCAAATATGTGTAGAATTGTTCTGTGTTCCAGCAGATCCCTTTGGAAGATGAATCCACATGTAGGATTCTGAATTTGGGCATTAAATCACCAGGTCCATATTGAGTTATGCAGTAAATTTGATCCTCCATCACCTTGGAGGATCTCAAAACTTACTGCAAACAATGAAATAATCACCATGAGTGGAGTTTCACGTGCCCCTTGCCCATCCCATCACTCGGATGTGAGTGAAAGCAGGACACAAAGAACTGATGCTCTTTCCCCTTGAGCTGCCTTTGCAAAGGGATTAATCTGATTTCTTTCATTGGATGTCTGAGTTCCACTCAAAGACATCCTGTGTTTGGAGAGGAATGTAAATCTGTGGAATAAATCTCATTCTGGTGTCTCCTCCCAGCAAAATCAACTCCCCAATTTATATTTAGCAGAGGGAGATGCTGCTGAAGTAGGGAAACAAATCTGTCTGGGCTTTCAGTGGGGCTTGGTAATGATGAAAACTGATGCTTTGAATGCATTTTTGTTCTTGGTTTTGTGCTCTCTGGCTTTATAAACTCTTGAAAATTGCTGTAAATACAACTGGGCACAATGCAGCATAAACAGAGGAAAGCATCAAACTGTCCTCTGTATTTTACAGTTCTATACATTTCATTGAAATGCTTGTTTAAAATATGGATTGCTCCTTGCATTTCTGTGATCTCCCAAACATGACAGACAGAAGAACAAGGGACTGTGAGGGATTGTCATTCAGATCTGGAGTGTCACCAGTCTGAGAGAGAGGAGCCCAACGGGGTGAAAACAAACCTTCAGCTGCATAAAAAGAAGTAACTGAGTGAAGACAAATATTCAGCAGCATAAAAAGGAGTGTTTTGACCCCTTCATGTGTCAGTCATTCCTGCTGTCCGTGGTACAGGAACACACCTGACAAAAAGGCTGAGTTTTATTGCTCCTTTCAGGTGCCCCTAAATAACCTTTGTTGTTACAGCTGCCAAGACTCACCTGATAAAACATGTTTGGACTCTGTTAATCATCCTTTCTCTGGAGTCAGAGAAGTGAGGAGACAGTTCATCTTTTCTGAAGGGGAGAGAATAGAATTTAAAGCCTCTGAGTGTGTTGTGGGGTTGGGAAGCTGTTCCACACCCCGTTTGTGTGATATCCCAAATTACAGCATCACAGAATATGCTGAGTTGGAAGGGACCCAAAAAGGTCATGGAATAAGGGACAGATATTCTGGAATATTTGATAAACTGGGCAGTTTTCTGGAATTAAATGGGACATTCAGTCTAGAAAATAAAGGATATAACCCCCTCTGGACATGTAAGCCTATGTCTTGATCTTAAAGATTAAGGAGTTTCTTGCCTTCTGTGGGCAGATATGTCCTGAGGCCCCACTGAATACAGGGATTTTGAATACAGGCACAAATGAAAAATGTATTCAAATGATGGATTAAAACTTCCTCCCCCCATCTCCATCAAGGTTCCCTTTTCTCTCTCTGCTTATTTCCTGAAATTTAAATAAAATTCCGTGTCCTGGTCTGTGGGACAATTTGCCCTTTGAGGCCACTTCTCCTTGGTGGTTTTGACGTTCAAGGCAAGAACTGGACCTTTCTGAGGATTAAACACATCAACTGAATTAGATAAAGGTTTTATTAATCCTCTCAGGCAGGTTTCAGGAGCCCCTTCAATTGGCAGAAGAGATGAGGAGGAACAAGCTTTACCTGCAGGTGCAATTTCTGTGATTGGGATGAAGGAGGAAATAAATGACAACCTCTGGTTGTCCTCTGGCAGCACCAGCAAGGAGTGTTTGCATTTCCTCCATCAGGAAAGACTCAGGAGAAGGATATTTATTAAGTAATATCGACTTATCCCATAAAACCTTTTATTTTCCTTGAGAAATTTCTTTAATCTCACTTTAGTAATTGCATTATCTAATACTGGAGCTGGTTTTCCTAGAAATTATAGTTAATATTTATTATGGATTTTAAATTGCATGTGTTGTTATTTCTCCAGTTTTCCCTCCTGGCCACCTGCCTTTTTTTTTGACTCCCCATATCTTTGTGAAATCTTCAAAAAACCTTCCCCAAAACAATAATTCTGTAGGTAAGTGATGACAGTTATAAAAAAATGAATTTGCTTTGGTTCCTGTCAATCCAGGAACACGTTGGATGGCTGACACCACCCTTAGATGTATAGGTGGAATGGTGACATCCACATGGATTCTCCAAACCTTTAACCCACAAACTGATTTCTCCTGTGGTGATTCCCAGTCATTCAAAACACACTTAGATGTGTTTAATTGTTTTTGGTTAAGAGCTGAAATTATAAACTCTTTGGATGCAAAATTTAATTTAATATTTTTGCTGAAAATGGCTTTTTTTAAAAAAAAAAGTCCCCAAAAATTATAATTAGATCCTACAAATGGCCTGAGAAAGGGACAACCCTGTGCTGGATAAAAAAATGAGAGGGAAAATCATTGGCCAAGCACAAATCAGTGTCCCAGGGGCTCGTGTTGGACTCACAGTGTCGTTCACAGCGACGTGTCCACTTTTCTCCCTGTGAGAGTTGCTACTGAGAGTATTTTAATCCTTTCTCCTCTGATCCCTGGGCACACACAAAGGGATTACTGCAGTCCTTTAAAAGACAGCTTTTCCTCTCACTTCCACGTGTTTTCTTTCCACTCTCATGTAAAAAAACCCACTATATTTTAGCAGGGATCAGACCAGTGTGGAAACACTCCATGGAATTCCCTTCCCTGAGCAAAGGGAGCTGTTTGAAACAGCTGATACTTTGATCTGACTTGCAGATGAGAGAGGGATAAACAGGCATTTCCCAGCATTTTGCCCACATTCTCACTTGCAAGAATAAGGCATTGTGTGTAAACAGTGGATCTACTGCTTAGTGGATTATATTTGCATAAATAACAGAGAAAAATGACTGTTTATCTGGTTTCCTCCTCCCCTACTTCCACAAAGCCACACTGAATCTCAGTGCATGCCTGATTTAAAAAAAATCAATAAATGTTATGGAGCGATTAAAATAATTAGAGTTATTGTTTTAAATAGGAGAAACACTTGTGAATATTGCCCAGGTATCCATAAATAACAATATTAAGTGAACAACGGCCTGTTTTCCTGTATAATGCTCTGTTTGTTGTCCTGTATCTGCTGTTATAAATCATGCAGGATGTTCCTCCAGCTCCTCAGATACTCAGAAGCAGCTTTTGCCAGGTCAGGAGTTCAGGAATGTGCTGTTTGCCCAAAACATCTGGTTTACATGCTCACCTTCACCCCAGGTGAGCAATGGCACAGGGAAAACATCATTATCTTTGGAACTGCGCTTGGTTATTTGTACAGGAGCCGTGGCCTTATTGAAAAAACATGAATATTGCCAACTGCAGGCAGTTGGAAGGGATGGAATGGCAAAAAAAAAAAAAAAAGTGTTTGTGGAAATAAAAACTTAAAGAATGAATTCCAACGACTTTCTTCTGTGCAGCAGACAGAGGGAAGGCGAGGGATGGAGTGCAAAGGGTGAGACTGTTGCAGTGGAATAATCTGAGAGGCTGTAAAAGCAGAATTTGAAGGAAGGGAAAAGAAGGGAAGGACTTCTGTTGCAGAAACTTGTGGAAAATGGGGATATTTCAGCACAGGCACTCGTAGAAAAGAGAAATGTTTGCAGAGGGAAGGGGCAGATGGAACATTTCCAGCATGGTGGTGTGACAGGAGATGTGAAGCTGCTGCCCCCATGGAGTGCATCCATGGTGCTCCGTGGCCATGGACAGCAGGAATCACTTGTAGGGAAGGGATTATGGTGGGAGTAAGGCCAAAGGTTTGGAACTCTGAGAAACCTGCCTTAAAATGCATAAGTTTGTCTTTTGAGGACAGTTATTTCCCCCAGATTTCTCTTGTCTCCAATGTGAGCTGCTCTGCAGGAAAAGGCCAAGCATTGTTATATTGCAGTGGAACAGAAGAGCTACCACGTG